TGTATTATTTTGGAAGATATATAGTTAATTTTTAATAAAAGCAATGACTCAATAGTTTTTTTTAGACGTTTTGACCAAACCTAGTGAACTGAAATAAATTATTTGAAATACAATTTTAACCTCTTAGAATAAAATAATTATATATTTATATATATGCAACTATTATTTAAAAATTCTAAGAACTTATGATATATATTATACCAATTTATTTTTTGGAAAAGAAAAAAAATTATGTTCTAAAATTTTATTCTAAAATTCAAACATAGAGAAAAATAAATTATATTTATTAGTAAATAAAATTTTATATAAAAAAATATTAATTGGATGAGAATTTTCATTAAAAAATGATAAATTTAAACAATAAGAGTAATATAAACTGAAGTATTTGTTTAATACAACACCCACCCACACACACTCACATGCATGAAAATAAAAGAAAAATGAAAGCTGAAGATTGAAAAAAAATGTTACAGAGCATAAGGGACGAAAATAGAAAAAAGCGTTAAATTTGCATATTAATGCCCAAAGACACAAAAAAAATAAATAAATAAACACACAAAAGTTATTTAAATTGTCATTAAGTAAATAGTAATTTTATACTTATGAAGAGTAAGTGAATAGGAATTTTAGGCATATAAACGAGTTCGGATTCTCGTGCTACATTGCGAGATCGAACTAAATATATTTATTTCAGTTTAATAACATATACTATATTGTTGGCTAATTAAAATATATTAAATTAAATATAAAAAATAAAATTTCATCCCATTTTATAATTTTTAATCAAAATTTTGTATGTGTGTGTGTGTTTTAAATAAATTTTGAAGTCAAAAAAATATAATTTATTCTTTCTTATGCATTTATTCTTAAATAAAAACCCATTATAAACAAATTTTAATATAATTTTTTTTAAAAAAATCTTACTATTTTTTTATAGCATTGCATCGAATAAATAAAACAACAATTAATATAAAAACTTGTATGAAAATTAACAACTCGAATCTTTTTACCGATGAGAAGATTATTTTTCTAAAATATGTACATTTGATTTATATATATTTATTTACAAAATAATGAATAATATTAGTATGTAAAATTGTATTTGAATTATTAGGCGGTTATTCTAAAATATTTTTTCAGTTTTTTTATTTGAAAAAATTAATTTTAAAATATTAAAAAATAATAGCAAATACTTAGTATTGTGTGTGTAGATGCATAGTTGATTTTTAATAAAATCAATGGCTCTAATACTATTATTTTTTATACATCATAATTATATTCAATGAGTGATAACGTATAGAATAAATTGAAAAATATTTTAAAAAATTAAATTATAAAATACATATTGAAATTAATAGAGTGCAATAAAAAATAAAAAAATAATTTTGATAAAATTTGATTATATAAAGAATAAGAAAATAAAATACATATATTCTATTTTTAAAATTTGATTATATAAGAGTTAAGCAAATAAAAACAGATATAAAAGAAATTATTTGAATCATACATAAAAAAAAAATCATATTTATTAATAAATAAAATTATATAAAAATAAGAATAAAAATTAAATTGATCTAAATTTTTATAATAAAGCGAAAGGATCAATTTTAAGTAATAAGAATAATATATATTTATTTTAAAATCTAAAAATATTTTGTTCATATTATAGAATGGTACTTAATTAGTTACCTTGATGGAGGCGATGAGATTTGGAAGTAAGGAGAAATAGCCCGTGGACAGACAAGGAGGAGGTGTGCCTCGTCAACAACATCTAGGATTCTGGTTTTTCCCTTATTATTTTAGAGCGCTTTCTCCGTTCATGATATGGGAAAACGCTTCCTTTTTGCAAACTTTTTTATTAACTGAATCAAAATATGTTATGGGTGGGCTTGCCGATGGAGTTTCCATAAGGCCCACCAATTTAGCCTAGCCGAAATACAACTAAAAGTTCATGGGCCCATTCTTCACCTCTGGGCATGGCATGGATACTTAATCCAGTATTAACATGGTTACCAGTACTGACATCCCCTAAATTCTAGGGACGAAAATAAAAGAATTTAAAAATTACAAAAAAAAAAAAAAAAGGATGAATAGTATTTTATGAGGGGATGAACAGTGAAAATCACTGTTAAAACACTCTACTTCTTTTAGATATATAGTAATAGTAATAGTAATATGATGTATCATAAAATTCTGCTCACACCTGGAATGAGACTCCATTTTTATTTATATAATACATTAATTTTTCGAGTTTCATTTCTTCATGTTTTGTGTTTTTTATTTCTTTTGTAAGTCATTTGAGAGACTCTTTCATTTAAAAAAAAATATTTTTTAGTGTATTTTGTAATTAAATGTGGAGAAATTTTAAAATACTCAAAGAATATATATAATAGCTACTCTATAAATTCACTTTCGAAAAAAAAAAAACAGAAAAAAAAAAGCATTAAGATCCACCAATACATTAATTACTCTATGAGAAATATAAAATTACTCTTAAATGTGGACAAGGACTTTTTTTTATCCAAAGAAGTCATGTGTATATCACGTTACTTTACTAATATATTAATTTTGAAAGATTAATTTCATCCACTATAAAACCTATTGAAGACTTATAAAACACATGGTTTCACAAGTCAAATGTCTCAGATTGTGGAGCGATTCGATTTTAATTATGCAATTATTGATAAATAAGAAAAATCAACTTTCAATTTGACCATTCCAATTCTTGTTATGTTTATATATGAGTATATCAAATCTTAATCCATTTACGATCTAATTCTAAACTTATATGGAAAACAATTTATAATTTTAATCAATTTTTATTAAATAAAGTTCATTTTATATTACACCTATCTAATTAAACATTCATATTGTTGTTTATTAATTGAAACAATTTTTTTTATAAATCGTATCATAAAAATAAAGAAAAAAAATCTAACAATAAGCATTCATTGAATGTAGTTTACATTTTCAATATATAATCAAGAATTAAACGTTTGATTGTTCTCAATTTTTTATTATAAATATTAGGAATTATGTAAAATGATTGAATAATTTTATTGAGAAAGAATCTAACTGAAAAATAATAAGGGTGTAAATGATTGATAACTCAATTGATATACTATTATAAATTTTTAAATAATTTTAGGGACCTTGATAAGTATTATCTCATATAACACATATTTCTTTTCTTTTCTTTTTTCCTCCCTCACATATATATATATATACACACACATTCAACATACGTCTTAAATTAAAGATTAAAATATGAGCTTTCAATATTGATTTAAGCAAGAACAATAAACTTTTTTTTTATCCCTCTAAATTTTGTTATGATGCTTTATTTATTTACACATGAGACAATTATTATTTTGTAATTTTTTTTATATACAGTCAAATATAATTGGAAAACCCCGCAGAATTGCCTTGCATTGGTATATTCGTCAAATTAGACCACATGAAAAAGCCTATTCAAATTAGTTGGACTAAATTGTAAGATGACTATCAATTAAAATTTATCTTGTGTTTGTAAAATATTTTTTTTTCAGTTTTTTTTTTCACTAAAAAATTATTAGAGAGATGAGATTAAGATGAAAAAAGTTGATATTTATCACAATTTTGTAGGACTAACAGCATGATTTAACACCATTAACTCAAAAAGTTAACAAAAGGATGATTTTAAGACAAAAACCAAAAGTAAAAAGACGAACATAAGGAAAAAAATATCAAAATGAAAAAAAAAAAAAAAAACTAAAGAGTGACCCCTTCGACCATTAACCCAATTTCTTTTACTATCAATTTGATTAACAAAATCTGTCCATTATATATTTTATTTACAATAAAAGCCCTCAATCCATAACAACCTTAATGATTCGTTCTCACATTAGTACGTAATATGAAATTATCTATTTTATATGAAAAAAGTTAACCTAAAATGAATTCAAATAACATAAAACTATTAGTCAGGTCTATATATGTTGGTTTCCTTTAAGCCATTCAAAGTTTTTTTTTTTTAGCACAATAATAATAAATATCTTGAAAATCAATTTGTTGAGTATTGATCAACAAAACATTTTAGTTCTTTCGATAAAAGGATACACTTAAATCTCTTCATGTATAGCTAATTTTGTTTCCTAATTTACTTCTATTTTCTATTTAGAATTATTTGTTTCTTACTTTATTGCTACTTCCTATTTAGCATTGTTTGTCGGCTATATATACATATCCGTACTAATATACAAAACAAAAATGAATATTATTTTCTCCCGGATCTTTATGTTATCAAAGCAACACATTCTTGGGACAACAAAACCCTAAACCTTTTCTTTTCTTCCTTTCGCCATTTCTACCACCATTCATCATGACCGGTAATCAAATTACCATCCCCACTACTCAAGAACTCACAACCCCACTTGTTGTCATCACACAACCAACGCCATTAAACTCACCACCACCAACTACCTTTCCTGTAAACTATAATTGGAGTCTCTCTTAATTGGATATGATCCCTACCAATTTGTTAATGGTTACAAATCCCATTGATGTCGTTACAAATCTCAATCCTAAATACCGAACTTGGTTTAGGCAAGACAAACTCATCTTCGGTGCTCTTGTTGGCCCTCTCTCGCCTTCTCTCATCCTCTTTTATCGCGAGTCTCGGACCTCATCCGAGGTCGGGAGCTTTCTCGCTAGCACATATGCCCGACCATCTCATGGACATATCGAACAAATCAAAGACTAGCTTTAAAATGCCACCAAAGGAACCAATATAGTTTTTGAGTTTATGTAATACATTAAAATCCGAGCCGATGAATGTGCTATTCTTGACAAACCTCTCGATCATGAGGATATTCTCAAAATCATCCTTGATAGTCTTAACGATGACTATAAATCGATTATCGATGCCATTCATGGGCGAGATACTCCAATCTCATCCGATGAGCTTCATGAAATATTAATTAACGAGAGAACTCTCGATGTGCATTCAACTCTCTAGCGAATCACTCTTTCCCGCCACCGTCAACTACATTCAGCCATGTTTCAATTATGAAAATTGAAGTCGGCGCCCCAAGACCGGCTTTGGGTCCGTCGTTCTTCAACCCGGTAGTCACCCTTCTCCTCGGCTCTACCTTAATCGCCATCAATAGTGTTGCACTCGGGGCCATAATGTGGTATAATGCCTTGTGTTTTGCTACCAACATTTTGGCACCCAACCACCGACAATTGCACGATCGGCTACACGGTGGTAGTCCACTCCAATAGCACCGTGGCAACCACAAGCTCATCTTACCACAACCACCCCTAACAACTCGAGATGGCTTTTGGATAGTTGTGCCTCTCACTATGTGAACACGGACTTAGGCAACTTATCTTTTCACAATCCGTATGAAGGCCCTAATGGTATCATGATTGATGATGGAACGAGACTAACCATCACCCACATTGGTTCTAAAACCTTTAACACTCTCTCTCACACCTTTACATTAAATAATGTTCTATGTGTGCCTACCATGTAAAAGAATTTGATTTCCATCTCGCAATTTTTCAAAACTAATGATACATCTATTGAATTTTTTCCAAATTCTTTTCTTGTGAAGGATTTTCATACAAGAGCAACTCTTCAACAAGGTCGAACTAAGGATGCCGTGTATGAGTGGTCAAAATCTTCCGTCGAGTCTCTCGCCTTTGTTAGCCTTTTCAAGTGTCAAGACCAAATCGTATGTGTGGCATCATCGGTTAGGGCATTCGTCATTTTCAATTTACAATAACATTTTTTCCAATTTTTAACTAGAAATATCAAGTCACTTTAATTCTCATTCAAGTTGTAATTCGTGTCAATGCAATAAAAGTCATAAATTACCATTCTCTATTTTTGTGCTTGTCACCTCATCTCCTATTAAAACTATTTTCTTTGATGTATGGAACTTGCCCATTCACTCTACTAATAGTTTTAAATACTATGTAATTTTTGTGGATCACTTCACCAAATATTTATGGTTTTACCCTTTAAAACAAAAGCCTCATATTCATGACATATTTGTCGAATTTTGGTCTCTAATTGAAAACTATTTCAATAAGAAAATCAAAACTCTTTAGTTTGAGAATGGAAGAATATATAGCTTTAGCCTCTTTTCTTGCAACTAATTAATGGTATTTCTCATTTTACTTCCCCTCTTCATACACCGAACGGAATGGGTGGCATGGACAAAATTGATTATGAGCGAGATCATGACTTTTGCCATATCTTCTCTCAAAATAACTTTGTAGTTTCTCGTTAAACTCGAATTGGGGAAACTTACTCCTATTGTTGTTGTCATGATAATAGTAAAATAACTTTGAATAAATCTTTTTGCTTAGTTTACCTTTTTTTCTCGTTCTTAATAAATCCTTTTATTTCCTTCTTTATTATTTTTCTTAATTTGGATCTATAGGATTATTATACACTAGTGATCATCTTAATATCATGACATTTATGGACAAAAGAAAGTTTCATCCAAATATTTTGTTTATTTTCCCGACATCAAATATTTTAATTTGGAAACTTTTCAATAAATACTCATTCGAGTTACTATTCAATTATTATTATTTTTTATTGGATAGTAAAAGATATTCTTAAACCGAAATCCGAATTGATTAAGAAGGGAGTATTTTTCTAATCACTTCGAGCGAGAAAGAAAGAAAGAAAGAAAAAAAAACTTGTATCAAATTAAAGGCTCTCTCTTCGAATTAAGACACGCTTTAATTTCCTACTCTCAATATTTTAACTCAAACATTAACGAATACATTTACTATTTGTAAGTTTAAAGGTTTCTTAAGGGTATTACGGATACAATTCTTAAATATGAGATAGGTGCTATGGTGAAAGGTTGGGAAAGAAAAGTATACAATCTTAGCTAGGTTACATATTGTAAGAAGGTGGTGATCATGTGCTGTAATCTAAATCAACAAGGAACATCATAAGTTAAGGATCATGTAGTGAGAGAAAATATAAGTTCTTAGAGGGATCGAGGGGCTCTCGAGGGACAAAATAGAACCAAAAAAGTTGTCCAATGAGATAATGAATGTGGTATTTATAGATGTAGGCAACGAAATGTAACTCGTTTGAATTATGACAAGTGTCCAATGTATAAAGATTAGAGTGGGTGCCTTGTGTTCAAAAGAGGTTCATAAATAACATCCTCAATTCTTATTGAAAAGATTAAGGATGAATCTAAGCCGCTCTTAAGTATTTCATATGAGCCAATGACTATTTAATTAAGGATCCTACCACCTTTTCTTTAGTAAGTCTTTACGTGTCACGACCCGTATCAATTGACCTTTGTGAATGCCAATCTAAGAAACTTTTGTCTAGTTCCACCTAAAAGAGAATTTTTTTCACAAAAAGATCGAGTATAAATATAAATATATGAGGATAAGGCGTAGGTGTAAGAGACTATAAATAAAAATCATATATTGATATCATTTAATTTAAGACATCAAATCTTGAGGGATTGACTCGGTAGTCATGTAGGCGCACTCCCTCTCTTGATTTATTAAATTCGAACATTAGGACCGAACCAAAAAGAATTTAAGTTAATAAATAAGAGAGTATTTGGACTTTTTAATCACTTCTAGCGAGAAAGCATCGTATGGAAATAACGGTTTTCTCTTAGTTCCACGTTTCAAATTTCTATTCTAAATATTTTAAATAAAAAAATAAATTCATTAACAATACATTGAGACATTTACTATTTAAACAAGGCTTATTGTACAAAAAAAAATCACTGAATTTTATAATTTTTAATCATATTACCACATTCTTTCAATATTGATCATAAAAGATATGAACTAAATTTTTGATAACCATTTTATGATTTTTTTCGACTTCAATTTCATCTTATGTTGACTTGACATGGAGAGTTAGTATGATAGCCTGACATAAATACCACATAAGAATATATGCAGAATACCACGTGGCTTATTTGATAAATTAACTTCCTAATTATGAACTATACGTCAATAATTCCCAAACTCAATTGAAAAATCCGTCATCCCCTAAATTGTAAATCAAGAGCCTTCATTTACCAGCCTACGATCACCTTTGCCACACCAGTCTCTATCCAGCCAAAACTTCACTCCCATATCACCCATCTCCTCTCCCCATCAAAACCACGAAAACCACCATTTCCTCTAACCTCCACGCAATCCACCACTGTCACCATTTCTACCACAAACCATCCTTAACAAAATCATTGCCCCTGATAGTCGTAACACAACCCGTTGTTCATCACTACCCAAAAATAGCCATCTCCACCAGTCCAAGCCTCCAACAAGCAGGCACTCTCTCTCAAGCAACCCGAACCCATCAATCTCCTCTCCCTTATCAAAACCCCCAACTGTTAAAAACCTCTCTCACAAACCCTTAATGTCAAAATTACCAGGAGGTAGTAGGTTCCATCCATCATTAAACCCGACGACCCACACAGCCTACAGCCACAAACCCAGACAAAAATCTCCTCCCCATTAAAACTCAATTGTTTGAGTTTTAATTTGGAGGATTTTTTTTTTTTTTTTTTTGGAATTAGGAAACATGTTGGCCTGAGGAGAGGAAATTTTAATGCTTATGTCATGCTGTCATATTAAGTTCCATGCCACGTCAGCTTAAACCAAAATTTTAAATTAAAAAAATTCACATATGCTAATATAGCTATCAAAATTTTAATTTATGTCTTTTATATTTACCATTAAAAGAATGTGTATGCTGATATGATTAAAAAAATATAAAGTTGGTGTTTTTATAGAACAATAAATCTTTAAACTAAGGTGCCTAATCTTAAAGGGTTGATCTGGTGGTCAAAAGAGTATACTCGCTCTTTGATTTTATAAGTTTGAATATTGAAGTCAATGCACAAAGGAATGTTATACTTCTTTTGATTTTCTAAGTTTGAAAATTAGAGTTAATATTCAAATGAATGTATCTCTTCAGGTAAAAAGCTTTGCATGAAAATAAAGGTTTTCTCTCTGAGAGTTAAGGCACATTTTAATATCCTATTCTAAATATTGTAAGTCAATTTTTTTTTTTATTATAATACATTAAGACATTTACTAGTTAAACTAAGATACAAATCCTAAAGGGTTGAGCTAGCAGTCAAAAGAGTGTATTATTTCTTTTGACTTTCTAAGTTTGAATATTGGAGTCAATACCCAAAATTTTTTATCTATTCTAAATACACGAGATTGATGTAAGGGATACATTATTAAGGTCATCTAGGAATAGGACTTAGACTCAATTATCGTTTAAATTGGTTTGAGGATTCCCTTTGCCATCGAATAAAAAAATAAAATCAAATCAAGATAGCAAACTTATCTAAATCTAATTTAATATGGAAGGAAGTAGTTGGATTAAAGAAAAATTAAAGTGGATTGAATTAAGGAGTTAGTGAGAAAACCAAACATTTAATGGTTTAGTTTTTTTTTAATTATTCTAGACATTAGTTTTGGGATATTTCAGAATAGAATAAGTTTTTTTGGGACGGAGAGTATCATATTATACCATAATAATTTAATAATTATTATAAAATTAATGATAACGATAAAATAAAGTAATGATAATACTAAAGAATTAGAGAGAAAAATGTCGGTGAAAGTTGAAGAGAAAGATGATAGAAAATTGAATTATTTTTTTTTCACTCAACACACCTATTTATAGGTGAATGTTATATATAATTCTACATTAGAGATTTATTGAAGCATAAATACATACATGTATGATAATAGTTAATTAAATCACAAAGGAAAATATGAATGATACATTCATGTATATTTATTCATTACATGAATGTATCATTCACGTATATAGACATTTATTTATTACATAAATGGTATATGAATATCAATTATTATTTCATAACACTCCTCTTTGAATGTCCATCGTAAAAGGAATATGCTTTGTTAAAATTTTGTAGGAAAAAACCTAGTGGAAAAAGTGAAGAAAAAAGAGTATAATATTTCTTGTACACATTAAATTCTATATTGGGCTCTCCTTATTGAAAATATTATGAAAGATCTCTAAGATAGCACATCTCAATTTTACGAACCATTTTCTCAAAAGTTACAATACGTAATGCCGTAGTAAAAAAATATGTCGGATTGTAACTTGGTTAAATTTATTGAACATTAGTATCATCACTCTCTTGAAAATCATGTGTAAAAAATAATTATGGTGATATATATTATGTTATGTCCCCTTTGATGTATCCTTTTTTTTTTTAATTGAGTTATGCAAGTAATATTATTTTTATATAATATTGTTGAAATTTTCTTGTTGGTGAATAAACCACATGTTTCTCGGATATGATGTGTTATTAATCTTAACTAAATACATTCTCAACTTTTCTCATAAATTCCTAGCATTTACGCGTGGTTTGAGGTTGTAGCAATTATACTTTATTTAATAGAACGTAATTATATAGTTGTATCATCATGTATAAATACATAATTTGTGATCAAACTTTGTGTGGATTAGATAAATAACCAACATTTGCATAACTAATTAATCCCGATTTTGATTTATTTGAATAAAATAAGCTCATATCAACTATGACAATGGTTATGCACGATCATGTCCACATCCGAATTATAATAAGTTTCCAGTTCACTTTAGAAAATGGAGTAGAACCAATTAGTCGAGTTTATGATTATTATTTTTTTTATCAATAGCTCGTTATTTTGTTCAGCCACAACCAAATATAAAATTAATTTAAAATATTTCTTAAAAAAAAAATTCTCAATACTATAGGAGCATATTCGAGACATGAAAAATATATCATGATAAAAAATTCTTTTCGAAAATGTCAAGGACTATAAAATCAAGCTTTATGAGGTTTGACATAATAAAAATTATATAATGGAAGATATAATAATAATATTAGAAAATAATAATAATAATAATACAATTCAATCTTTTCAAATAACGTATATTAGATTATTCAAATTTTTCAAACATATACTCTATGTATCATTAAATTTAAAGTAAATGATAAATTAGATACATACTTCTTAATGATCTATATAATTTAAATCTTTTGATAAAATACTCCTGTAGAGAAATAATCTAATGATAAAAATAAATGATTGAATCTTTTGTTAGATACATTTCTCATAGTCAATCTCGGATGATTAATTTTTTGTGTTAATAACATATTATAAAATTAATGATAACAATAAAATAAAGTAATGATAATAGTAAAGAATTAGAAGATTTGTTGGAGAGAAAAATGATAGAAAACTAAATTATCTTTTTTCTTCACTCAACACAACTATTTACGAGTGAATATTATACGGAATTCTAAATTAAAGATTTGATGAGGAATAAATGCATACATATATGATAATGATGAATTGAATCTTTAAAAGGATATGAATGGTACATTCGTGTATATTTATTCATTACATGAATGGTACATTCATGTATACGGATATTTATTCATTGCATGAATGGTACATGGACATTCATTCATTATTTTATAACAATAAAATATATTTTAAATAAGAATATTATTGTTTTGGGTTGTAAAATATAATTGAAAAAAAAAATGATGTATCTTAACTTTTCGATTCTCAAAGGAGATCAATTTACAATAGATGATAAAAATAGACTATTTATTTTGAAGAGATGGTGTAGTAGATTAAGAGTGAGTAAATACATCATTAATCAATCACAATGCAAATGTTGCATATAAGTTACATACATACATATATAAATTTTCTCTAATGTAATTCTCAAATTAAGAACAAAAAAGCAAAAACAAAACATAAAATGAAGACTGAGGAGCAAATAAAGATAAAGAATGATTAGATCTAAATGGGTCGTTAGCATAACCCCAAAAACACAAAATGATCATATTATTATGAATAGTTTTTAATATAAAAAATTTGTTTAAAACTTCTCACTTTTGGGAGGATAGTTGGAAGGAAAATGTTGAGAAGACGGAGCTCCATTATTGTTCCCCATGATTTTATTGCACAAGGTCATGTGTAACACCTTAAACTTTGCCTCTAATTCAATAAGCCCTTGTAAGTTAAGCTCCTGGACTTTAGCATCCCACCAGCTTTCGCTCTCATTTTCTTCTAGTTGATTCTTTAACTTCTGACCCTTTTCTTTATCAATATCTAGTTGATCTGCCATCTCAATGTTCTTCTTATTTAATTCTTCAATTCTTGTTTGCCGATAAGCCTCCACGAGAGGATGAATGTTATCATATGGAGGATCTTTTCCAAGAAAACGATTGGCAATAGATTCAACAGAAGGATGAGCAAATGAAAAAGGTTTGCCTGTTGGTGAGAACACTACAAAAGCAATTTCAGCTCCAGTTAAAGTAATAAGCTCACTTGCCTTTTTGTAGATTCCAGACCTACGCTTAGAAAACGTTACAAGTCTATCATCGTGATTTTCAATCCTCTTGATTTCCAACTTCTGCTTGCCTTTCGTTTTCTTGGATGCCATAACAAAAAAATGAAAATAAAAATAAAATGTATATATAAAAGTAAAAGTTAAAACAGAGATTTGTGTGATGATATTTCTTCCCTTGGGACATATATATAGAAGGACATAGTAAATGGTGTCAGATTGAAATTATTATTTTAAGCTGTTTCTTGCCACTATATGTGTACACCCTCCATGAATATAATAAACTATTTAATACTTTTAGTTGGATTGATATCTAATATAATATAACATAATTGTCTTTCTTAAATTGGATAAGTAAAATTTGGGTATTATAAACTCATATATGGTAACAATTTCTTTTCTTTTTTTAACTGAGGATCGAAAATAGCAATTTATTAATATTAAATAAAATACAAATAAATTATTATTTCTCACATTATGTTTATAGAAATTACAACTTGTTGCTTGCAAAAGTAATCAACGATACCAATAGCATAAGATGGTTTTTCTAGCAACAATTAACAAAAATAGTGAAATTATTATTCCTTCACTGTACATATATACGGACTCATCTCATCGTATCTTGTGACTTTATACTACTTGTTCGGTTATCGAAACATCTACGGACCCTTCTTCACATCCAACGCCTAGCACCTTCATAAACATCACACCCTTCTCTATAATTAAACCTCCCTTACTTAAATTTAAACTTGGTTGTCTAACCATTATAACCCTAGGGTGGCGTTTGGTTGTAAAAAATAAAAAGTCCGAAATGAGAATGTAGGAATCGAAATGAAAATTAAGAAATCAAAATGGCATTTGTTTTCTCATACTGTGTTTGGAATACTAATGAGGAATCGTAATGCAATTTAAATTTTTTAATACCTGATTTTTTTTATACAAATAAAAATAATGATTAAAAAAATAATTTTATCAAACTATAATAGTTGTAAAAATAATAAAGGTGGTGGTAGTGGTGGTGGTGGTGATAAAAGTAGTTAATAAACAATAAATAAATAAAATATATTGGTGGCGGTGGCGGTGGTGATAAAAGTAGTTAATAGATAATAAAAAATAAAATATATTATTATTTTGAAAAAAAAATCATTCTCATTCCTTATTTTTATTCTCACATTTTATGTGAAAATGAAGTTGTGTGTAAATTTTCATTCTCATTCTCACTTCATTCTCTCTAATCAAACAGACTACAAGATGAAAATAAAGCTTCTATTTTCATTTCCACAACTATATTCTCGATTACCAAATAGCACCTAGATGTCTTATATCCAGATTCAACAACATCATGGAGCTCTTTTAAATTCATAAAATCGGGATCTTGTAACCACTCAATCGATACAACTCTAACCTTTACACCATAAGAAATAGGACTCGGGTTGTTAAATACCCCACCGACATGAAATTAATCTTAAAATGCTTAGCCATCCTATGGACGAAACCCTAAAAAGACAAACATATTGGGTTTGGGTTTTGCAATTTAGGGGATCATGTTTTGAAATTTTATTGGAAAAATTGAGTGGTTGAAGGTACAATAAAAAAGGGTTTGGGTTTTGTAATCTAGGGGTTTTGGATTTGAAATTTTATTAGGATAATCATGGAAGAATTTGTTTGGACAGAAAGGGTTTTTGGGAGATTTGGTTGATGGTTCGTCCAATGGGGTTTGGGTTTTTTAATTTAAGGGATTAGGTTTCGATAGAAAAGGGTTTAGGTTTTGCAATTTTAGAGATTAGGTTTTTGAGAGATTTGGTTGAAGGTTTGTTCGAGGGTTCGGGTTCTTAAAGGTTAGGGAGATGAGGTTGAGGTGGTCGCGGTGGCGAAGTAAAGAATGTGAGTGGTGTTTGCTAGTGAAAATGGTGATGTATGTGGGTTCGGGGATGAGACGAGAAGAATAGAGGTTAGGGGATTTGAAATGAGAAGAATGAAGGGTTGGAGTTTTTTAATTGGATTGGAGTTTTTTCTCCAATCTTGCAAGAAACTATATAAAACATCGGATCAAGTAATTAAACTCTGTTTTTTCCTCTCTTTTTTCTTCAAACAATTAAATCCGAGATTAAAGATTTAGAAAGAAAAAGGCAAATTTCTTTTGAAAATCATCGATCGAATTATCGATACATATTTGTTTAAGACACAACAAAACAAAGAATAGATAAGAAAAGAATGTGAACAAAGAAAATCTAATTAAAACTAATTAATTTCTAATTCAAACTGGAAATTAAACAAAGATAATAATATCAACAAATTGCAACAAAAACAAAACATACCCATAAAAATATAATTTCAAAAGTAGGAATTATGATACCTTAAAAGTGAAACATTATGAACAATCTTTCTCTTCATATTCTACTTTAAGACACGATGAGAGTTTTGTTTTAGAAGAGAGAGGTCTTTTTAATGGATATTTTGGTAGAAATTTGAAGACCCAGTAAGTGAAAATGAGGACAGAGGGTTAGGTTTGGTTTATGTATGGGAGTGGTTTGCTCGATAGAAATCAAAAATGTTTTCGACCGTTAGAAAGGATTGTTTAACTTGTTTATTTTTCTCAAAACTACGTCAGTTAATAAGGTTAAGTCAAATCATTTTCAGCAAAGGCCCATTCTTACGAAGCCCATAACTGGTAATTGAATTTAGCCCATTTATGGACTCTCCTCTCTCCCACTTCCACTTCAAAGCAAGAGAAAGAAGTAGAGCATGAAAACTCAAACGCAGTTTTGACTTGACGTAGAAGCCTTATAAAATTAGCAAAATTTCTGAGATAACTGGTGGCTGAAACTTGCTTAACTCCGCTGGAGTCGTTTGATGTAGCCCCCTACCCCAACAGAAGTATTGAGAGGTTGGCATTGATTATAGTGAGCCCGATGGCACAGCTGGAGGACACGTATGTGATGTGATGCCTGACTGATTCTGGTAAGCAACGCAATTTGAGGAAAGAGATCAAGGAAAAACAGCCTCACAAGGTGTGTCAATGTCTGAAAGTTGAGTGTTTATGTTAGAATCTTACATAATATTTTTCAGTAAAAAACATTCAATTTTCAAATTGAACCAAAAAAAAAAAAAAAAAAAAAAAAGGGAAAAGGAAAACCTGCTTTGTGACGACAGATGATGAAGTGCCTTTTAGAGTGATTGGAGAGGAGGAAGCTGCGGCTGTAGTGTGGAAATCACATTACGAAACACCAACTTGGCGGTTGGGTCTTATCACCACACGGCCTTAGTGCAATTTTGTTTTTAAAAGTTTAGATTTGGGAGGATTTTACGTTCCTGTTCATTTTGGATCATTTTAAGATCGTAGGATTAACTCTGGCCCAAATTATCTGCATTTTGCAGTCGAAGCTGCAAGACCCTTTCTGCCCATTTGTCAATTTTGCTACAATAAACTGAAAATTTCCCCGCAGACAGTTTCATGTATTATTAAGAATCAACCCCTTCATGCAGAGTAAATAGTTGATAAATTGAGCGAGCAGAGTCACTAATTTCATGTTGTAAAGTTATGAACAAAGCTGGTCTGCATTGAAGCTGCTCACCTTGCACTGGATAAAAGACATGATTTGAGAGATTAGGAGAAAGTCAGCAACAGAGCAACGGCAATTCTAATCAATGAACCCATTCAAGCTTTTGATTGTATAAAGAAACATTAGATCCGGAAAAAATACACATTCCTGTCACCCATAAGCTGTACGAACAACCAATTTCTATTAACATTTCCTGCTTAAAGGTGCAGGGGGTTTGGATTTGCAAGCCTTGTTCAAAAAAGAATTCAGATTGCTCTTTCCACAAGGCTGTCAGTTTCGTAACGTTTAGACGGGAGTTGAAAAATCTAATGAAATGTTAGAATCATTAGCAACAAAAATAGTCGCAAGCTCAAGCTGGGGAAAATTTTTACTGTACATAATAGCATCAGAAAACATGACTAGACCTAAAACTAAATAGGAGGAACTCAAAAATTGCAAGACGCCAGAATCACTATGTTGATATTGAGAGCTACAATCATCCACCATCATATCCCTGAGGCGAAAATACATTTATGATAACTGCAATAAGCTTAATGCATTTCAATGTCGCAGATAACAAATAAATAAAACTTTTACTTGCACATCTAACAACTATGGCACACTACAATAAAAAGAAAAGGCTAGAATAATTTTGCACAGAAGTGACACACCCAAATATAGTAACAATCACTGTATTCAGTTACAAATTAGATGGGTGCTGCACATGTTGTTCTAAAATGGCCTGTCTGATTGCAACGACTACAATGCACAACTCGCTTCACACGACCACGATCTTCTGCCCGGACTCGCTTCTTTCTAGGACGACCAGGAGGCCGAAGTGATTTGGGTGGATTAATGACAACCTCAACAGTCTTGTTGGAATTTGGATCTCCCTCAGACAGCTCTGTCCAGAGACTTTTATCGGGAATTGGATGAATGGTTTGTGAATAAGTCTTTCGATAGGTTGCAACAGTGAAACAGCTCTCTGTAAACCGATGCACATTCTGCCTGCAAGAGAGAAGTGCTGCCACAGCATGTGCACAAGGTAAACCATATAGCTGCCAGCCCCGACAAAGGCAACAGCGGTTCCGAATGTCCACAATATTTGTTCCTTCATGAGATATAACTTCAAATTCAGCTTCATTAGCACGAAGCACTTGATAAGTGCGTGCACGCTCCAATGCCTCTGCAACTCGCCTCTCAGCAGAAGGCACAAGAATTGATGTCCACTGCATACTGGTCTCACGACGTTCATTGAACCAGGTCATTAGTTGTCTCCTAATGCATTCCATCATCTGAATTATTGGAAGCCCGGATGCTTCCAAAATCCAAGTATTCAATGATTCAACTATATTAGCCGTCAGATGTCCAAACCGAGTACCTTCAAAATAAGCAGTAGCCCACAACCGAGGGGGAATTCTTCGTATCCAATATGCAGCATCTTGTGATATTTCCTCAATCTCTAGAATTTTTGCCTCAAATTCAATGACAGTTAGAGCATGAGCAGCTTCCCATAGAAGGTTGACAAGCATTGTGTTATTGAACTCTTTGCGG